GGTCAGATACCAAAAGGTTGAAAGGACTTGGAGGGCAATGGGGGCCCCAGCTCCCTCTCCTGGGCACCAGATAACTGGTTAAAGGACCCTCAGCCTTGCCCAAGACTAGCTCAGGTCTCTAGAGCTGTGATTTGGTCCCACATCCATTAACATTTGCCTTGACTTGTAATTTTATACATTTCTTGGTATGACTATGTGAGTAACATCCATGTTCCTATTAGACTGAGTTCTTTGAAGCAGTGGCTATCTCTATTTTTGCTCATCACAAATTCCTAGTGCCCAGCAAAGCACCTGGCACATAGTAGACATCCAGTAAACTTCACCTGAAGAATGAGTGAATATTGGGGAGGAGCCCTGCACTCTAAGCCAGATCCCAGATCAGTGTGCTAAGGGGATAGATGCAGAAACCACATTCCCTCCACAACTTGCTGGATTCTCTACCTCTTAATGGACTTTTGCACCCTTGTTGCCTTCAAACCACCCAAGCCCCAACAGTCCTATCCCAGGAAGTGGGCCAGGGCCTGGGCTAGGCCTGCAGGAAAATGTCTAGCACCCTGTGCATGGAAAGGGGATGGTGGATTTCCCCCAAGTGCCTTGGTTTATTCAGCTCCTGCTATGCGTCAAGCACTATTCAGCATTTTCCTATCTTTTCCTATAAGTTATTTACACTTCATACTAATAAAAATATTAGCTGCAATTTTTGAGTACTTCCTATGATCTTGGCACATACTTTACATTCATTAACCGACTTAATGTTTGTAACAGTCTCATGAAGTAGGAATGATTACTACACCTTTTTACAGATGAGAGCATTGAGGCACAGAGAAGTCAACCTGCCCAAGGTCACAGACTAAGAAGCTGGGCCTTGACCCCAGGTCTGCCTAGACTCTAAATCTGCAGCCCTTCCCACTGCACTACCCCAGTCCCCCCAGATTTCCAGTTTCTAATCCAGGGTCTGGCCATTCAGGCTTAGATCTAAGGGCTGCTGTCCAGGTCCTTCTCCCTTGGAGCCACCGCTGTTGGAGGGAGACACTGCTTGGAGCAGTTTACTTTCCCTACCTGTCCATACTCTGAGTTTAGGTCATTTGGGGTCTGCAACTGTCCCTCTGGGGCAGATGGGATAAGAGAGGTGTGCCAGACTGCCTCTCCCCCAGCCTCAATACTCCCTCCTTCCACTGGCTTCCCTTTTTAAGCACTAACTTGGGAGATCTAATTTTCTGCCCCCAGGAGTGTGTAATTAACTAAGACTGGGCAGAATAAGACTGCACTACCTCTCATTCCTTTTCGGTTCCCAGAAAAGACAGACCCCTCCTGAATACCCTCATTCTTTCTCTCCCCTAACCACGCCCCACCCCTCCCTGCTTCACTGCTCAGAGGTCTTGAGGACTCAACCCAACCCCCAGGGAGATACAGGTTAGCTGGCTTAGGCCTCTCAGGTAGGAATGCACCAGAGCAGGGCCTTCAAGGAGGGGTCGGCTTTAGTGCTTTGTGGTCTTTGCATCCCTTCCCCCACCTCTTCTCAGTCACGGAAGCGCTAGCCGCGTGTAGGTTGGGTAGTTGGGACAGAGGGTCTTACAACTGAGGACGTGTGAACCTGAATAAAGGAGGTGACTTAGACACATGGTGTGGGTATGGCTTGGGTAAGTGTAGGGTGTCCCTGTCTGCTGTTTCAGTGGTTAAGTGAAAGGAGAGAGGGGGGCATGCAAGGGAGTACAAACCTGAACACACATGGAGGGAGGTATGTGCGGTGAGCTGCATAGGGTACATCCAACAGAATGCCTTACGTACCCCGGATTTCTGGAGTCAAGACGTCCCTCGACATCCCTAGAAATCTTCGGCCTGGGGTGCACACACCAAGTGCCCTCTCTGTAGGGCTCCTGGCCCCCAGTTCCTCTGGTGGCGCTCCACGTCCACCATCCCGCCCTCCTTGCGGACCCAGTAGGGGGCGATATCTTACCTCTCCGGGTGGAGCCCCCATCCCAGGCTCCCGCTAAGACTATTAAAGTGACGGGTAGGGCGCTGAGGGAGTCAGTCCAGGAGACATGAGCCACGGGCCCTTCCTCACCTCGGAGCCTCAGGAGCAGGAAGTGGACACTTGAGCAGGCGCTTGGAGGGCCCCTCCCCTTTATCTGTACCCTCAGTCCGGGAATGCGGCGCGGGGTGTGCAGGACGCCACTCCGCACCGCGTCCCCTCCCCTGGCCGCTCGAGACACCTCGCGCTGTTGACAGCTCTGGCGCCTGGGTCCAAGGCGACCTGGGGGGGTAGGGGGTCGGGGGGGCGGAAGGGGAGCGCACCGTCCCCGTCACCCCCCACCCTCGGCAGTCCCCCGCCAGGGAAGGAGGGTTCCGCGGAGGAGCTCGGTGCCCACCCACCTCCCGACCCTCGGGGAAGCGGAGGACAGAGCCTGACGGGGCGCCCCTCCCCCGGACCAGCCACTGC